GGCATCTCATCTGATACTAAAATAACACTGGTTCACATATTTACAATGTTATAATTTGATCATGATAAAAATTATTACTAATAAAAATAACTCTGACTGCACCGAAAAGATAAGTCTTCAAAATATAATTCTTTATTAATTAAACTATAAATTGACATCAAAAAGCAAACTGACATCAAAAACTTGACATTGATTAAATTGAAACTGAAGTAATATTTGACATCGAATCGATATCAAGGTGCCCGCTGTCGGTTGTCTTTTGCCTAGAGTTTACTCCCCCGTGACCCAATGAGCAGGTTTAATCTAAAGAGAAGCTCCCCTAAAGACGAGTTCCCAAACCTGGACAGAAACCACACCCTGATGGGCCGGATCCTCAACCTGCACATGTACACGCGCCAGTTCAACCGGGCAACTGAAAGCGGCGTCATTTTTGATGATATCATACGCCCCGGACTTGAAGATCCGGGTGAGTTGTTTTGTGTGTGTGTGTGTGTGTGTGTGTGTGTGTGTGTGTGTATTTGGCAGTATGAAGTATCGAAATTTCATTCTCACGCATCTGTTCACTGGAGATTATGACTCATTCTATAAATTGACAGTCCGTGTAAGTTACAGCTACATGGCTGCAGACTGCGGAGGAATGAAGCTATCTCTTCTCTGAATGAATGTACACCCACTACCCTTGAAGAGGGGAATATATCTAATACATATACTAATACAAGTCATCTTCATCATGGGAAACCTTGTGAAAAAGAAGTAGGCCTACATATTAGCATACTTTAAAAATGAGTAATTTTTACGTAAATAATGTGTGAACTGACACTTTTCTGACACTTAATGGCATGTTAATTGCAATTAGATGAACATTTATTGTAGTTTACATTTATATTAAATGCAATAATTAGAATTTTAGACTGCTTTTGACCTAAAACTCAATGAATTAAAATGTACTTTAAAGCAAGTTTTAATTTGACATTATTATAACGTGCACGTTTTGAAAGTGTATTAAGATTCAGTCATGAAAGCATCTCTCTTTAAGCAATCTTAAGTGGCCTTTTATTTCATTAATATTATATGCAAGTATCATTTTTAAAAATATACTTCTAAAATTTAAGTGCACATTCAATACAACTAAGTGCACTTACTTTTTCCGGGGGATTGCATTCATTTAGGTTTCAAGTTTTACTTTCCCTCTGGGGGCATTTGGTAACAAAATTGACTAATACACAGACACACACACACACACACACACACACGTACATTGGGTTTCCATGTTTTATGGGTTTATTCCAAAGGCGTAATGGTTTTAAACTGTACAAATTGTTTTCTGTTGCCCTACACCTAAACCTACCTCTCACTTTCTGCATCTTTAGATTTTCAAAAAACTTCATTTTGTATGATTTATAAACTTGTTTCCTCATCATGGGGACCAAAAAATGTCCCCCACAAGGACAATGATTTCTGGATTTTGGCATCTTTGTGGGGACATTTTGTCCCCATAAAGTAAGGTTTACCAGGACCACACACACACACACACACACACAGACACAGACAGACAGACAGGCAGAGAGAGACAGTCACAGTAAGCACATGTCAGAAGAGACTCACCTGAATATCAGGTTCTAGTTTCTATGTATCTGTGGACCCCTGGTGTTCTATGAAGGTACTACAAGGGGTCCATTGTCTATTTAAATTATGTGTTTAAAAAAATGATTAATTATACTTTATTTAATTATATTATTAATTAACATTTTTTAAGTATAATATTTTATATGTATTTTTTTAATAATCTGGGTTGGAGGTCCCTGGGGGGGAAAGGTTGACAGTGTTTGTAAGTTATGCATTTTTTTGCCATACTAAGTCTGTGAAAGAAAAGGTTGTGAATGAACTTTTTGATGGCTAAGTGAACTTTTAGTCTAGAGCCACACCTTTCTCTCTGAATAAGAAATAAGAGATGAACCATAAACAAATATGAATCATATTTGTGTTGGTAAACTCTAGTCTGATTTTGTCTGACAGGTCAGTCCACTGGACCGAAAGCAGTGGGCTGTTTAGCAGGGGATGCTCAGTCATATATTCTGTTCTGTGACTTCTTTGACCATATTATCGAGTCTTACCATGGCTACAAGGTCACCACTGACACTGTTCAAGAGAGCGACTTCAATTATGACAACCTGAAGGTAAAAAAATAAAAAATATCTAAGGACAATACCTCATCTCAACAATGAGATTAAATGGAGACCAAATGGACAGACTATGAAATTGAATATGAGATTCAATTTCACATCTCGTGATTTTAACCACACCAAAATATGCAACCAAAAGTGAGTTTGAGATCATCAGTTTTATAGCTCCATTACTGACAGTAAGTGTTACATTTTAGTTTTAGGAAAAACCTCTGAGACATAACTTCATTTAGTCGCTCATTTTCCTCTCAGTGTAAAGTTTGTGATTGTAATATAGTGACGAGATCTGTAGAATAGAGCAAAATCTGTGGTAGCATGGTATAGATGTATAAAAAGTGTGTTTATGTGTGTAGGGTGGTGATGACTTTGATCAAGCATATGCTATGAGTTGTGAGGTGACTGCAGGCCGCAGCATTGAGGACTACTGCTTCCCCACACACTGCAGCAGAGGAGAGCGCAGACAGCTCTTCACACTAGCCAAAACAGGTACTGCATTTGATCACGGGTCTAAGTGGATGGATATATTTTATGCTGCTAATATAACATGTTTTATAGTTTTAGAGCAGCTGGGTGAGGATCTGCCTGGAAAGCTTTACTCCATAGATGAACTCAGCCACGAGAGTGAAGATCGCAGGGCTGTGATGGACTCTCCACCATTGTCTTTGATAAAGATCAGTGTGGCTCGTGACTGGCCCGATGCAAGGGCCCTGTGGTTGGTTAGAGTTCACAATTTATGGTTGTATATGCTTGCATCAGAGCCATTTATAGTATGTTTTTGCCTTGCAATCAGGTTAAGTGAGGATGGGACCCTGGCTATTTGGGTGAACATGGAAGACCATCTGAAACTGGTGTCTTACCGAAGTGATGCCTGTTTACAAGAGGCATTTAAAACGATCTGCATCAATGTGCTGAAGGTTAATTCTGATGGACTACCTCATACAATATCATACTGATATATTTTTTAGCAAAGAAAAACGGTCTTAATATTGAACCCTGAGGCATGCCATAAATATTTGCTATATATGGTCTATTCTGCTCACACTAACAATCTGAAACATGTTTTTATAGATGGAGACACTATATAAGAAACTGAGACATCCATTTATCTGGAAGCCTCACTTGGGCTGGGTGGTCAGCTCACCTGCAGAGGTCGGCACAGGCCTGAAGGCAAGCGTCACAGTGAAACTGCTGCATCTAGCCGAGAACAAACGCCTGGACGACATCCTGGACAGACTACGACTTCAGATGGAAGCAACTGGTATGGTAAAACTCATTAGAGGATCTGTAGTGTAAAATCATACAGCACATCAGCCACAGTTTAACATAAAAATGTAATTAGGCTGCATCCAAATATAGGTGCATTTTTCACCTTCTAATATATAGATTATAAGGTATTCAAAAACCAGTAGGTAAAAATGACTTCCCATTAGGCCACAGGAAATGAGTTATGAATGCCAGTGAAGCGATGCAACTGATGCTGTAGGACACATTACAGTGACAACATGATGGATGTAGTACGTCCGGATTAAACTCGTACTACACACATTCATACTATATTAAACACACTTTTCTTTAACAGTTGTGAAATAAGTATATATTTAAAAGAGGTACCTACTCAGAGAGTATGCGATCTTGGATACAGCTTTATTTTTCTTCTGCCATGGAAGCCTATAGCACATGTAAAAGGTGGTGAAATTTGGAACACTGATGGTGGTCCAACTTTTCTAGTGGCAACTTGAGGGTGTCTCTTATATTTTCTAGTGCCACCAACGGTCCAAATTTTGACATAGCTAATAACGTTTCATAACATTTTCATTAAAACGTAAAATTTTTGCTATTCCTTCTACAAACTTAACACATTAACCGAATTCTGCTCAGATGATCTTCACACCAAGATTGTTAAATCAAATCCTCAAAAAGATGACAGCAAGGACAAATAACATTTTAATTTGTCGTGCATAAATTATATTGTAGCTGCCACTGCTATATTTTCTGTATTTCCTTTTGTACATCAAAGGAAACTAACTTCATTTAGTTGCTACTCTGAACAAACTCATTATTTGTATTTAACGTGCAGGCTGTCTAGGCATCTACAAAATCAGCAACCTGCAGACCATTGGAGTTAATGAAGTGGAGCTGACCCAGCTAGTAGTGGATGGGGTCAAACTTCTCATCCGAATGGAGAAAAGACTGGAAAACAACAGTGGCATAGATGACCTGGTACCTGCTCAGAAGTGAAGTGGCCATCAGGAGGCTTGTTTTAGTGAGAACCGAAATCCCATTGCTCTAAAGTCTTCTGTTCTCATCAACACTATGATGAAAAAGGGACTTTGCAACACGTTTTCTTGATGTTCGTAAAATGTTGTTGATGCTAGTTGTTTGGTGAATCTCATGAAGAAACGTCTAGATTGTATTTCACCCTATTCTACATAAAGACAATGAAGCCTATTTTACGCTTATTACAATCTCCTCACTAAGCCATTGCAGACACATTGCCTTGAAAATGTCACAATACAGACTTGCAATAGTCTTAATTCTCTTTAATATGTAATATTTAATTTTTTCTGGGTCTGAAATATGACCTAGGCGATTCATTGAACTGAAAACTACATTTAGGATTTTCGCTGCATTTGAGTTTACCGACTCCTTTCACAGTCAGCAGTATTTACTGCCTGTATATCCTAAGCATATATGATCATCTGCAAAACGGAAGAGCACAATGTTCAGTTTTCAGCTGGTTATCAAGAACAACAAAAATACATGATGTAATGATTGCAATGAGGTATGCAATATACTTTAAAAAAGGACACAAGACGGTTTAGTTCAAAGACTCATTTCAAGTAAGCTTTAATGTGCTCCAGTGGGACTGAACCACAGTGGCCCAAGGGATTTTTCCGCAAAAAATGTACAGTACTATGTCCAGAGAATAAATGGGACGAGTGTGTGGAAGAGTTTAATTGCATTTTTTGGAGATCCTCAGCCTTCAGCTTGCTTCCCATCCAAACGGTTTCATCCATACAGCCTTTAAAAAATTAAAAAATAAAATGTACCGTCACAAAAAGGAACATCACAGTTGACATTCGAACATTCACTGCCTCTCTGAGCTTTAATCACAGCTTTACCCTTTAATATTTTTAGCCACTAATCCTTTTTCCTAGCAAACTTGACCTAATCTTCCCTTAAAAGTGTGCAGTCACAACCTCTTTAGTCAGCATAACAGTAAAACAACAGACAGCATTGCACATTTAACCTTCGATACTTCAGTACAAAAGAACTAGTACGAGAGGTCGTAACCCATCTTCATCATCATCACCACCACCACTTATTACAAAACAAATAACAGTTTACAAAAAAGTGGGTGGATGAATTTCTACAGTTAATAAAACAGGAAGGCATAAAATGGCTTAATAAATAAAAGTCTTGGAGTTGAAGCGTGTCTTGTTTCTGGATTTCAAAGGAAAATACACGGCTCAGTGTTCTGCACTACAGCTCCATGATGTTAGTCTCACTCTATGTTCTGTATGGAATGTTAATGTCGACGTTCGTTTACGAATTTCTAGCCGATTTGACCATCCAAACCATCTGCATCTGGGAAACTCACTGCCTTCTCTACAAAACACGTACTCATTAATTCTGATGTTATGATCACATCTAATTCTCACTCTGAATTAAAAGGATAATTCATCCAAAATGAAACTTCTGTCATTATTTACTTGCCCTCGTGTCCTGCCATGTATGCCGTTATTTAATTTGTAGTTTTTTTAAATGCACATTTTCAGTGATTAACAACTTAGCCATACGTTACACTTTGTGTAACAATTCAAAATCTATTGCACAGAATTTGCAGTGTGTGGATTATCATTATGGTGTTTTATCATTTTTGGCGCTTAGTCAGATAAAGCTGCATAATTCTTCAAAATGAAAAACAACAACATACAGGCTTGTTGTGACCACATTGAAATGACAGAACGCCCATTGTTGGATCAACGGCCCATTTAAAAACAAATGTTGATAAGTAATAAAAGAACTGTTAAAACTGAGTGGTCTCAAAATCTAAAAAAAACAATTAAACAACTAAACGGGTATGACACATTGAACATAATTTTTATGTACAGAGCTCAATAGTGACTATACAACACCTCCACGTAAGTAGGCTGAAAGTCTTGTATTATACAACTCTATCATTAATTCAATACAACAAAAACATTCTAGATCTTAACTGTACATGTGGAAAAAGTCGGTTTAAGATAATTTGCTCGACAGATCTCTGTCCTGCCGACCCTGAAAGGGTTTTGATATTATTGCAAGATGGTTGTTTTAACCAGGTGTATATCAAGAGGTCATGAAGATCAGGCTAGGGTGTTTTTCCTCTTTTCGCATTCATATTTTCTCTACTACACATTACAGCAGAAACAGTAACTCAAAATGCTGCTCAAACTTCCTGGCCAGATTCCTTTTTTAGCGTTCCCTATAGATGTGTATTTTTTGGAACTCTTTGCTTACAGCTTGAGCTCATTGGCAATTTTGGAAGCGATGTTCTTGAAGGCGATGGACGTCCCCGATATGCGTTTGAAGCGCACGCCGTTGAGAGACAGGCGGGGCAGTTTGCACACCTCCATCTCCCACTGGACGAGACTGTCCTGCCGCACGTCGCCGTGCACGCAGAAGAGCAAGAAGCGCTCGCGCTGCTCGTAGTCGCAGTTGTTGGCATCCAGCACCTTGCGGATTTCTCTCATCATGTCTCCCGGCTCCATGGACGAGGTGGTCTTCATGCTCCAGGTGAAGCGCAGCGATCTGGGCTTCGAGTCTCGGCCTTCCTCCTTGGGTTCTCCGGATCCGCTTCTGACGACCAACACAGAAGCGTTCAGAATGTCAGATTGACTCTCATCCCAGATTAGAAACATGGCTGTGAGTTAAGGCTGTTTACACTAAGGACAATAACAATAAAGCTAAAGTTGTAATAATCACTCTAATTATATGAGAACAGTACTACAGCTATACTGATAATGACACAGAAGAACAGTATCATTGGAATCACCTTTAGAGAGATTTTTTCCAGCTGATGAATGCTATAAACATCAATAAGAATCCACTTAAAAGAACATATGTGAGCCTGGAGCACAAAACTAGTCTTAAGTCGCTGGGGTATATTTGTAGCAATAGCCAACAATACATTGTATGGGTCAAAATCATAGATTTTTCTTTTATGCCAAAAAACATTAGGATATTAAGTAAAGAGCATGAAGATATTTTGTAAATTTCCTACTGTAAATATATCAAAACTTAATTTTTGATTAGTAATATGCATTGCTAAGAACTTAACTTGGACAACTTTAAAGGTGATTTTCTCAATATTTAGATTTTTTTTGCACCCTCAGATTCCAGATTTTCAAATAGTTGTATCTCAGCCAAATATTGTCCGATCCTAACAGACCATTCATCATTATTTATTCAGTTTTCAGATGATGTATAAATCTCAATTTTGAAAAATGGACAATTAAGTGGTCCAGGGTCACATATTTAATGAACAACACATTATAGAGCATTGTTCTATGCACTAATAATGTTATTGTTATTGGAAGTGCAAATAACTACAGTCAGGTCCGGAAGTATTCAGAGATTTTGTGCTTTTGCCTTTATACACCACTACAATGGATTTGGAATAAAGCAATCAAGATGTGATTGAAGTGCAGACTTTTAGCTTTATTTTAAGAGGTTCCACAAAAATAGGACATTTACCATTTAGGAGTTACAGCCATTTTAAGCAAAGTGCCTCCCTTTTCAGGGACTCCATAGTATTTGGACAGCTGACTAAGAAGAGGTTAATTGTCCATTCCCTCATTACTTCAAGACAAATTAAGCAGATAAAAGAGTTGATATGAGGTATCAAATTGGCATTTGGAAGCTGTTTGACTGGTGCTACCAATATGAAGTCCAAGGAGATCTCGATGAAAGTGCCATCATTTGAAAGCTGAAAAACCAACATCGATAAAAGAGATAGCAAAAACCTTAGGTGTGGCCAGACCAACGGTTGGCTACGTTCTTAAGAAGAAAGCAAGCACTGGTGAGCTCAACAACATCAGACCACGGAAGACAACTAAAGTGGATGATCGCAGAATCCTTTCCTTGGTGAAGACAAACCCCTTCAATATCATCAACAGAAATCAAGAATACTCTGGAGGAGGTAGGCACATCATTGCCAAATCTACAATCAAGAGACGCCTCCATGAATGTAAATATAGAGGGTTTACAACAAGGTGCAAACCACTGGTAACATTCAAGCACAGGAAAGCAAGATTAGACTTTGCCAGAAAACATCTAAAAAGCCTCCCATGTTCTGGAATAAGGTTCTTTGGACTGATGAAACCAAGATTAAATTGTACCAAACTGATGGGAGGAGAAAAGTATGGTGAAAGAGAGGAACAGCTCACGATCCAAAGCACACCACATCAAGTGTCAAACATGGTGTCATGGCATGGGCACGTATGGCTGCCAATGGAACGGACTCACTGCTGTTTATTGCTGACAGAAGTAGCAGGATGAATTCTGAGCTCTTTAAGGCTATACTCTCTGCTCACATTCAGTCAATTCTACAAAACTGATAGGACGCAGATTTCACAGTGCAGATGGATAATGACCCTAAACATACCACGAAAGCAACTCAAGACTTTTTGAAGGCAAAGAAATGGAATATTCTTCAATGGCCAAGTCAGTCTCCTGATCTCAATCCAACAGAGCATGCTTTTCTGTAACTGAAGACAAGACTGAAGGCAGAAAGACCATGAGGTGGCTGCAGTGAAGACCTGGCAAAGCATCTCCAGGGAGGAAACTCAGAATTTGGTGATGTGCATGGGCTCCAGACTACAGGCAGCCATTGGCTGCAAAGGATTTTCATCCGAGTATTAAAATTGTGCTTATATTTACAATTATGTCACTTTGTCCAAATACTATGGAGCCCCTGAAAATGGAGGTACTTTGCTTAAAATGGCTGTAACTCCTAAATGGTAAATCTCATGTTTTTGTGGAACCTCTTAAAATAAAGCTAAAAGTATGCACTTCACTCACATCTTGATTGTTTTATTTCAAATCCATTGTAGTGGTGTATAAAGGCAAAAGAACAAAAACTCAGTCAGGTCCGGAAGTATTCAGACACTGACTATGTTAAAATAACAGGATTTTCTGCTATTTATACTACTTATTGCAAATAGTGGCAATTATCTGCACCTTAGTATTGTAGTCCATTATAAAACAGTATGCAATAATAACGTATTGAGTGTAAATGATAATTTAATTCAAATGATTAAATCCTACCTGATTCTTTATTTTATTTTTACTTAACTTTTCGATTATTTCCTTCTTTTTTTATTGAAAATAAATGCCTTTCCGAAGTGATAAGAGATTTGAAAAAAAAGAAAAAAAAAGTTTGGCAGAAGGTGGATTCGAACTCGGGTCGATCGAGTCAAAAAGACCACGGCATGCGCAATTCCACCTACGTGACTGGAGCTGTTTAAGATGATCGTCTTTTGTAGTGGTGAGTAGACCAATCACACGTTGATGGGCGGAGTTAGTGTAAATTGCTTCTGCCAACAAGGTGGGCTATTTAGTGTAAATAGACACTCCGTATAGTTATCGTTATCGTTGCGAACAAGTCTTTAACGGCTGTTCACACCAAGGATGATAACTATGAATTTGTATTAATCGTTTAATGCGAATAGTGAAATCCACACTACAGCTATAGCGGTAGCGACACAGATGAACGATACTGTTTAAATAACTTTCAGAGCAATTTTTCCAATTGTTTTTCCAACAATTAAAACAATGACAGCCAATTAGAATCCATCTTTTAAAGATCTTCAGCACTTACTGTGCCAAAACTTCAGAGCTCACTTAATAAACAATTCTATCAAAGCTGGTTTGTACACTAATATAGTCAGTATTATGATTTCATTATTGGTGTGAAAAGACATTTAAGGGCCATTCACATCAAATATGATAATTACAGTTTTAACAATTGTTAAAATTCAGAGAATAGCAATGTACACACTACAACTATAAAAATAAGGACAGAGGAACGATATCATTGTAATGACTTTCAGAACGATTTTCCAACTAATGAATAATAAAAACATTGACAGCCAATCAGAATCCATTCAACTTTAAAGTGCTTGAGCTTTTAAAGAGGCAGACGACAAAACTGCAGTAGGCACTTATAATAAACAATTTGATCAAATGTTGGTTTGAGCGCTAATTTAGTTATCATTGTGATTATTATTATCAGTGTGAAAAGACCTTTAAGGGTCGTTCACATCAAATATGATAATTATAACTACAAAGTTTTAATAATCACTCTAATTATATGAGAATAGCAATGTCCACACTACAGCTATAACGATAACGACTAAATAGAACAATATTGTTGGAATTACTTTCAGAACAATTTTTCTAACCGAAGAAAACATTGACAGCCAATCAGAATTCATCCTTAAAAGTTGGCAGACGACAAAACTACAGTACGTGAGACGTGGACAGTAGTGAAGTACTTTTACTTTACTCAAGTAAATTTAAAAAGTATCTGTACTTTATCTGGTACTACACTTTATTTTTTTAGAGTGTTTTTCTTTAGAGAACTTTTACTTCACTACATTCCAAAGCATAATATCGTACTTTTTACTGCACTACATTTCATGAATAAAATATTTTATCTTTTTTTTTTTACCTTTAACACTTAAGAACATTAAAAAAGTATCACTTTCTTGTACTCAAGTAAAACTTTGAACTATTTTTACTCGAGTAAAAGAAAGAAAGTACTAGATTTCTAATGCAATTAAGTATTAAATGATATTTAATATGAAATGTAGTGCAGTAAAAAGTACAATATTATGCTTTGGAATGTTGTGAAGTAAAAGTTTTCTAAACAAAAACACTGATAAAGTACAGACACTTGAAAAATTCACTTTTAAGGCAGAGTAAAAATACTTCACTACTGTCCGCCTCAGAGTGCGCACTTAAAATAAACAAATTTAATAGCACGTTGGTTTGTACGCTATAGTTATCGTTATGATCGTTGTTAGTGTGAACAGACTTTTAAGGGCCGCACTAAGCACGATAATTATACCTATAAAGTTTTAAAAATTATTAAAATTTTCTATTAATAGCAAAGTCCTCTTCACAAGTACATACTGATAATACAAAGGAACAATATGGTCCAAACACTTTCAAGAGTGATTTTTTTGGTCAATCAGAATCTCCTTGAATTAAAGAAGTTCAGCCAGACAACATAACTGCATTGTGCGCTTATAATAAACAGAATATTACCATCCATTGTGTGGATGCAAATAAATGTGACCCTGGACCTCAAAACTAGTCTTAAGTGTCAATTTTTCGAAACTGAGATTTATACAAAGCTGAATAAATTAGCTTTCCATTGATATATGGTTTGTTATGATAGAGCAATATTTGGCCGAGATACAACTATTTGAAAATCTGGAAGCTGAGGGTGCAAAAAAATCAAAATATTGAGAAAATCATCTTTAAAGTTGTCCAAATTAAGTCCTTAGCAATGCATATTACTAATCAAACATTAAGTTTTGATATATTTACGGTAGGACATTTACAAAATATCTTCGTGGAACATGATCTTTACTTAATATCCTAATGATTTTTGGCATAAAAGAAAAATCTATAATTTTGACCCATACAATGTATTGTTGGCTATTGCTACAAATATACCCCAGCGACTTAAGACTGCTTTTATGCTCCAGGGTTATATATTGTTATAGTTATCTGAATATTTATTGATTTTGGTGTAAATGGGCCTTTTTTGGAGCAACCTTACAAAACCAATAAGGTGTGTGGAAAAAAAAACTTTGGCCAATAAAACTAAAACAAAACATACAGTACATTAGACCCACAATTATATTTTGTATACAGTGGGGCAAAAAAGTATTTAGTCAGCCACCAATTGTGCAAGTTCTCCCATATTGGTTGCTATTAGACATCTGCGGGATGATGTTGGATGTCTGTTTTTGCTTATTTGAGTTAAGATATTTCAGTATCAGTGCATCCTAATTTAAATGGACTGCGAAATGAGCAAGGTTGTTTAGAGGGTTGAAATCTGTGTTAGAAAGACAGAAGACGACTCCCAATGATTAGAAAACATGCAAAATACACCAAACAATCAGAAATCTCAAATACTGTACATTGGTTATCTGAACCATTTAAATCAACACAGACTCTCGTCGACTGACCTGAAGGGGCAACAACAAATACCCCACAAGCAACAATCTCACATAAGACAGAGGATCTATAAAAACCTCACCTCAAACTGTACAGCCGACCGTGGGCCTCTCCTTCACTGGGTACCCTTGGGAAATATCAGAGGTCATATTGAGAAAACAGTGGACAGCTAAACTATAAACCATAGATTAGTACAAGTCTGCATCTCTAATAGTAACAAGACAACGGTTTCTAGGCAATCGTAAACTGCTTATAGTTTAGTCCTGTTCACACCAAGAACGATAGCTATAACGATAACCGTATTAGCGTTCACACCAACAAATGGTAACATGCTGTTTATTATAAGTGCGCCGCAGTTATGTTTTCCGCCGTTTTAAATGCTTGAGTGCCTGTAAGTCTGGTGGACTTTGATGGGATGTTAAAGTTTTCAATCAATTGGCAGCTTGAAAAAAAGTGAATTTTTTTTTCAAACCAGTTCTGCGCAAACTCCACCCACAGCCGATTTTAAAAAGCCAAAATGTCCCAATTCAGAGGGTGCATCCTTTGAAGGCCGATTGTGTCACCGTGGTGCGACGAATGCTGTCTAACAATACAAATTCACAAATGTAAGATTAAAAAAAAATTCTAAGCCGTTTAATGTTGAAATCCTACCGAGATGCGATTTTTACTCATGTACAGAAACGGACTAAGGTGAACATATTTAGACAGGTTGTGAACCCCGTTTAGTTTTAAGACGGTTGAATATCTCTCAACCTACAAACACTACAAAAAGTCCAGTATAAACACTAGATTAAAAAAGTTTTTAAAGACAAACTTTAGGTTGGCTTGAAAAAGCCTAGCCTGAAAGTTTAAAGCAGTTGTAAAAGCCTGAAGTTTGAAAATTTAGATAGATTAGATAAATGTTGATAACATGCTTCTAGCATGAATAGCATGTTTTAGCATGATTAGCCTGTTATAACATATTGCTAGCATGATTAGCATGTTACTAGCATGTTGTTAAGCATGATTAATAAGTGACTAGCATGTTGCTAGCATGATTAGCACGTTACTAGCATGTCGCTAGCATGTTTCTAGCAAGTGACTAGCATGTTGTTAGCCTGTTTCTAGCATGATTAGCATATTACTAACATGTTATTAGCATTATTAGCAGGTGACTAGCATGTCACTAGTATGACTAGCATGTCACTAGCATGATTAGCAAAATAACTAGCATGTCGCTAGCATGTTTCTAACATTATTAGCACATTATTAACATGTCGTTAGCATGATTAGCATGCTACTAGCATGTTGCTAGTATGATTAGCAAGTTACTAGCATGTCACTACAATGTTTCTAACATGATTAGCATGTTTCTAGCATGATTAACATGTCGCTAGGATAGATAGATAGATGAGTTTGAATGAGTTTGAATGGATTAGAAATAGTACATAGAAGGCAAGTCTGATTGAGTGTAATGGGCTTCAGTGTGTTTAGATTTGAATTTTGATAGTTGGAGTTTGACGGAATGTTCAGACGAGCCGAGACTTTTAAATGCAAGTCTATGGGAGTTTTATGATTTTTAATCTTAATTTTTATGAAAACCATAAGTCGGATCAGTCTGAAAAGATAAAGCACACTTAAGCCCTATTCGCACGAGATTAGTATTATCTGGGGACCTTGTGTGATTTTGAAATTACCCCCCCACATCTGAATTTCGTGTGGTGCATTCGCACGGGATAAGCGAAGCCTGTGATTTTACTCAAATTTACTGACTTATCTCCCGGATACCCGGATGTCAAGGCTTTGAGAGTCCCGTTTATGGTCCAGATGGATTTAAAAAAAAGAAACTAATATAGTTTCGTGCACTGTGTCATTTATATTTCACCATTTTAAAATAATATCTCAAGCTTTATGCTTGATTTATTTGTAACACATTAACCTCAAAACCTTTTCAGCTTTCTCTTTCTGCAAATTGTAAGGTGTAGCGATATGATGACAGCACCCAGAATACTATCAAACACTCCAACGCAGCTCCATTCTTCGCGGAAGATGGATAAAAAGGCGCACAGGAAACAAAAACCTCAAAAAATGATATGCACCCCACCAAATGCTAGCCGAATCACAGAGATGCCGATTCGCACGGGACTAATATTATCACAGCACAGGCGTTCAGCGAAATATGGTAGGTCGTTTGCGGGGGAATTTTTACTTTACAAATTACAGACATGGCCGATTCGCACAGGATTAAGATCACAGACAACCTCCGCAATTATTACAAATGACTGGAGGTCACCTGGAAATACTAATCCCCTGTGAATAGGGCTTAAGTCCGATCAGTCTGAAGAGCTGGGCTGGGTTTGGTGGTTCTAGCTTGAAAGCTCTAGGAGGAGTAGCGTTCAGAAATTTAGTCTAAGAAAAATAATAAGAAAAAGCTTAAGTAGCAGATCAGTACTAGCATCCTTGGCTTTCTCAAGTCAACCTAATTACTGCCGCTCGTCACCTGCAGCTGTCACAGTTGCTAGTTAACAAAATCAATCCTAGACCGTCCCGTATATTAATGTTCGGTCCGACCTTCACAGCCTTCAAAGTCTGTGTCCTTCGAAGGATGCAGCCTTTGAATTCTGATCACGGCAAACAGTAATGCTATCTATCAGGACATCTTCCCAACACTACACTGAGGTTTAGGTTAAAGGTAGGGTAGGTGATTTGGTTCAAAAACATTTTTTGTTACGCTGGTTGAAAATCTCTTCACAGCCCGATAGCAATCAATAAGTTAAGTGGTCTAAATGTATTTATATCATCTGTGGAAGGCATAGGACTATAAAATGTTCCCTTGGCTGAGGGCTACTATAGGCTGTCCTACCTGAATATGTATGTATGCATCAACGTACGTATTTGCATACCTTCACGCTCCCTGTTCGCACAGACATTATACCTCATCAGCACGTTGATTGCGCTATTGCAGACCGTGCGAGAATGGACGGTGCTATTATTGTAATATTAAGCACTCTGTGCTGCAATGTTTTGTCACCGGTGAATGAGACATGAGGTAATCTGACAGCATTGCATGTGTTTTGGAGGCGTGGCTTTGGAGAGTGATTTTGCAGGGAGGGTGGGATCTTATACTTTCAATGCTGACCTCTCTGAAATCGCCTACCTTACCTTTAAGGTTAGGGGTTAGTATTTGTTTCAGTGTTTTGTTGGCAATCCGCACAGTGAATAACATTGCCAGTGAACTTCAGAACCAGCTGGAGGCGGGGTTTGCGCTGAACTGGTTTGTGGAAAAATAAATGTGTAAAAGACTGTCTGAAAATAATTCCAACGACGTTGTTTCTCTGTGGTTATCGTTATAGATATAGTGTAGACATCACTATTCTCTTACAATGATTATTAAAACTTTATGGCCATGGTTAATATTTATTTCAGCATTATGTAGGCAATCAATACTGCGATGACCAATCAGAATCTTTAGAATTAGCTGGTTTGCGCTAAACTGCCTTGTGAAAAAAACACACAAACAAAAAATCAGTGATTCCAACAATATAACAGTAGACATCATTATAATACAGAGATTCATTCCAAAGAGGAAGGAAGGGGAACGGGTACAGGACCATCAGCATTCAACAGATTCAACCAGACTACAGCTAAACACCAGCAGTCTCCACAGGTAACGTCTGAGGGATGGTGGTGACGGATGCACAGATCATTAGTAAGAAACACACGGGTCGACAGGAGTCTGTTTCTGAGGAGAAGGGTGTGTGAGGACAGATTTCCACATGTTAGTCAGATGGGAAATATGTCAAACTATCGTCCCCTACCTCGCCGTTCTGAAAGACAGAGTTCTACAACACAAACAAACAAATGTTCAAAGCCTGGACCCGAGACCTTTAGGTCAGCCGTGAAATCTGAAGAACACACGAACGAAAGTGAAAATGACCTTACATACTTATATGGGAGATTAATTTGTCTATAAATACACTATGGATTTATTAAAAAACTTAAATGATTGGTTCACCCAAAAATATACATTTACTGAAATTTACTCATACTCAGGCATCCAAGATTAGGATGAGTTTGTTTCATCAGATCTGTAGCATTGCATCAGTGTCTTAGCACTGGATGCCCTGCAGTGAATGGGTGCCGTCAGAATGAGAGTCCAAACAGCTGATAAAAAAAGTCCAATATATATGGCCAAAAGTCCATAATAACACTTACTCCAGTGAAAAAGTCCATCTCCTGTTGTCCCTCACATCAAAATCCACCCACATATTTGTTTAGAGCTGTTTTGGACTGATTTTGATTGTAAACGGTTCTTGATTTCTCTCCTGATTCAGACGAGATGACTTTCTCACTGGAGAAAGTGCTATTATGGATTATGGACTGCCAGAAACAATGGACTGAAGTTAAAAACATCTTGATGGATTTGTGTCTTACAGACACAAACATTTTAATTTCACGTGTTTGTAATAGACGTTAACTGATGGAGTGGAGTGGTGTGGATTACTATGTGGATTATTGTGATGTTTTTATCAGCTGTTTGGACTCTCATTCTGACGGCACCCATTCACTGCAGAGCATCCATTGCTGAGACACTGATGCAATGCTACATTCCTCCTAAGCTGATGAAGAAACAAACTCTTCTACATCTTGGATGGCCTGAGAGTAAGTACACTTTCAGCTAATTTTTTAATTTTTATGAACTATTCCTTTAAATGTTTAATTCCTGCACTAGTGTCACCAAATGAAACTGCAAACAGACAGTAGGAGGCAGGTCTGAGAGTGATGTTGATTTCAGCTGCAGCCAGCTGCCTGATCAGCTCACTTTGCACAGTGTCCTTCACTGTCTGCAGCACACTCAAGAGTCAATGCAGGCTCAGCACGGAGCGTGAGGGTGTGTGTGTTTGTGAGGCTCTCTCTCTTCCACACACACACTCACACTCACACTCTCACACACACACACACACACACACACACACACACACACACACACACACTGCAGTGTAGGGCCTTAGCTGTTAAAGAGAGACAGAGAGACCTACTGGTTTGTAAACAGTGTAAAAAAGTGGTACTCAATCAGGGGGCCGGGGTCCACTAGCACACTCACACACACTCTCACACACACACACACACACACACACACACTCACACACACACACACACACGCACACACACACACACACACACACACACACACACACACTGCAGTGTAGGGCCTTAGCTGTTAAAGAGAGACTTCCTGTGCTACTGGTTTGTAAACAGTGTAAAAAAGTGGTACTCAATCAGGGGGCCGGGGTCCACTAGCGGCCCTCAGCAAACTTCCAAGGGCGCCTCAAGGTGATGTCATTTAAAGTATTAAAATACTTCTAACTTAACTGAGAAGATTTGAATTCTAAAAAACACTATAAAAACAATGCATTAAATGTATAACTTGTAAACTGATACACAACAAAGTTTTGGGGGCAGTAAGATGTTTTTGAAAGAAGTCTCTTGCGCATCAAAGCCGCATTTATTTGATCAAAAGTACAGTAAAAACAGTAATATTGCGAAATATTACTGCAACTGAAAATATGCTGATTTGCTGCTCAAGAAACATTTCTGATTATTATCAATGTTAAATATGTTTGTTTGTTTGTTTGTTTTTTGCGATTTTTGCTGAAACTGTGATACGCTACACTAAGTTTTGGGTAAGATAAAAAAAAAAAGTAAAAAAAAAAGATTTTTACTTTTATCCAGCAAAGACACTAGGGATGTAATGATTACCGGTTTGACGATAAATCATGATAAAAACACCCCACGGTTAGTATTACCGTTTCATATTTTAATTATCACTATAACCGTATTCACAACGGAGGATAAATAAATACTGTACTGCACAGGGCTCCAGAGTGCGACCAAATGGGCGCATTTTGCGATAATTTTTTCTGCCGGTGCGACTAAATTTTGTGACCACCGCATTGTTTAACTCATAAGCGCTGCATTTCTGTTGCATGTGAGAAACATCAAACGGCAAACGAAACTGAAAGGATAACGAAACCGTGTGACTCGTTTGAGCTGCTCAGCGCTAGAGTGTAGAGCCTGGTTTATACGATGGATGGGTTTCATGCTAAAGTAAAGTAAAAGACCGCTTCTTAAACCAAAGGTGAACATGTTGGTATTCTTGTGTGTGTGTGTGTGTGTGGGGTAAATAAATGATTTTCTTTTGAATCTTTCTATTCATCTAAGAATTCTAAAAAAATAAAACGTATCAGTTTCTACAAAAGCAGCAAAACAGTTTTCAACATTGCTAATAATAAGAACCATTATTTAATAACTGAGCAGCAGTAATAATTGATCATAATGAAACACCAAATCAACATATTTCTGAAGATCATGTGACACTGAAAACTGGAGTAATGATGCTGAAAATTCAGCTTTGCCATCAAAGGAATAAATAATATTTTAAAATATATAAAAACAGATACCTATATTAACTTATAATAAGAATATTTCACAGTATTCCTATTTTTACTATATTTTTGCTCAAATAAATGCAGTCTTGGTGAGCATGAGAGACTTCTTTCAAAAACAATGATAATTATGATAATTATTCTGAACGTTTGACCAGTACTGTAATCCATCATTGTTGACCTGTGTTTGAGGTTTTCAAAGCTTTGGCCCTTTACAGCACTGCAGGCCATTCTGTTGAATCCTGACCTGACTTCCACACAAACCTCAGGAGGCTGTAAAGCAAGTGCACAATCAGGACACGTGCAGTGATGGATCTAGAGACTGACCTCCGCACAAACTTGGAGGTGAGCTTGCTGATGAATCCGGACGAGGTTCCCCTGCGGGCCTGGGCGAGAGCGCCCGTGTCGTGGGACAGTGAGGGCGATGCGGGAGGGCCGTTGTATGTGGCGCTGCGGCGGTCTCTGAGCTGCGCCCCGTGGAAGGTGCTGCGGCTGGAGGTGCCCCGAGGAAAGCGGGTCCGATCTGGAGTCATGCTGCTGATGCTGTGAGCCGACGGAGACGTGGACGGAGCCCTGGAGCCAGAGCTGCTGACAGATAAACAGTGATTTAATATATATATATGTATATGTGTGTGTGTATATATATATATATATATGTGTGTGTGTGTGTGTGTGTGTGTGTGTGTGTGTATACAAACACCATACCAAAAAAGCAGTGACAGTGTACATAT